TATATATATATATATCATTCAATTACTTTTTGTTATTATCATATATCATAATATATTATCCAAGACAATATTGCCATACATTATTCTTGTTATTCTATTGATCGTTACTCAGTAATAATATATTTGCTTATTACCTTCTCGCATATATTTTTAACGGCTTGCACTGTTGTGCATTCGAAATAACTGCCCTTTTTCCTATAATCCACATAGAGAGAATCACGTAATCCTTGCTCCAAAGTCGATTGCGAACAATGCATCGCCTCCGCCAGACATCTGGTGAACTGTCCCGGGTATTCTTGCAAAAGTTTCGTTACCACGCATTCGCTGAGCGGACCAATGATTAACACGGGTCTCAGAGTAGGATCTGTTATCAGAAGCAAACGAATCGTTATACTTTACATTCAAAAAATATAAAGGCATAATGTAATAATATTGAGAAGCTACCATTTTACTTAACCCTTAAGACTTGAGCTAGACTTTATATGAAGTTCTTACACCTCCTAGTATTTAAATTAAAAAATACTTTTGATATTTGTTCTTTTATATTGCATAATTTAGTATTTATGTTAATATTTCGCTTTGCATAATCTCGTTATTACGCTATGTTGTTAAACAAATTTGAATTTTTGAGCGTCTAAATTTGATGTAAAAAGAAAACTTTTCTATAAAATGGAACTTGAATTTCATCTGGGTAAATGCTTTAACAGTATCATACATTATTAAAAAAATAAAATGTCATAAATTATTGTTTAAATATATTCGTAATTATAAAATATCCTCAATATATTCTCAGCATCTCAAATCTTTATAAAATTTTTTGTTCAGTTTTATTTGGAGCTAGCAGAGTAAAATGTTAAATTTGTTAGAGAAGGCAGAGGATTAAGAAATTGATAATACGTACAATCGAGTCTCTCGACACGCTGATAACTCGCTGGAAGAGTGTCTTCGTTTAACGTCCCACTATCGCTGTACCATCCCAGATTGACTCCCGTAAGATGCGATATTTCCTTGCAACTATCTCTACTACTGGATGACCGTTGTTGCTGTTTTTTTCGACGGAAGAAACTTCTTCTCGCACTAGTATTGCTGCGTTTGCCAGTGTCTTGTTCCAAGTCGCCCAAAGACCGACGTAGAAGCAATTCTTCTTCAACTCTGAAGATAAATCACGGTTTAAATATCGTAGATTATATATAAAATATCGTATCAAACGCATTTTCTCCACTTTAAATATTCTATTATTCACCACAAACATAACTCACTTAAATTTGCTTGGAATTATCCCGCAAGTCTGCCTACGACCGGTCTGATCAACTATCCAGGCGCGCCAATGGCCTGGTGTGCCATTGAACATAGTATTATCCACGTAAAGAATGTCGTCCTTACTAAATCGTAACTGCAGACTATCACCTACTTCGCCGGTTCTGTCAAATAGCGCCTTAACGTAAAAACTGTCGCCTGGCTTGTCTTTCACTTCGTTATATCGCTCTAGCATGTATTGAGCGACCAGCGTCACCTTGTCCGCTGGTCGAGCTAGCTCAAGCGCGGCTTGCTCGGCGGTCGCTTGTCTTAGATCTACGCCGTTGTACTCCAGAATCCTATCTCCGGCAAACAGACCGGCCTCTTCAGCAAGACAACCTGGCTGAACAGAATGTACGAAGATACCGACACCGTTCCCTCCCACTAACGATATACCAAGGTTCGAACATTTCCTGGTCTCAATCAGTAAATACCGAGGCTCAGCACTCGGTGGTGGCTTTCGATTCTGTTCTTCCTGTGTGGGACTTCTCATCGCGTTTTGGCGCATCATCTGTGCGCGACTCAATCGATCCAGCGTGGCAGCGCTGCGAAGTTCCGGTTTACGAATGTTGATGTCCAACGATGCAGAGGGCCTCATTTCGCGTTCCCGCTCTTGTGTGCTTCTTACCTCCAATGAGGCGGATGGCCGCATGTGCTCGACGCGCAATGTGCTCATTGTAGGTGCAGCAGTAGTGGTAATGGTAGGAGCAGTGGTGGTGATAGTGATGGTTGCGTCGCGTTCAGGTTCAGCGGGCTCCAGCGTTTCCACTGTACTCTTTCGAGGTGCTTCTGGACTATTGCACGGTGTTGGCGAGCCGCTACGACTTCCGGTCGCAGCTCCGTCGCCGGCTTCCGACGAACTCGAGGATGCCGAGCCTTCTAACTCGGTGTATTCTTGCAAAGAAAAAACGTAAGTTTTTAAAACTTACCTCAATAACGTCAATGCTAAAGAAAACAAAATATCCTGAAAAATTACAATGAAAAATTTTTCAGACAACTTATCAAAAGATATTGATGGAGAAGGAAGAAGACGGAGAAAGAAGATGGAGAAAGGGAGCGTTAAATCATGCTACTTGAATAAAGAACATGCTACAGATCGCGAAAGTGCGTTTTCAAAAACTGCATTATTTTTGTGCAAAAAGATTTT